TATATGTGTATATATATATATATATATTTATATATGTATATATGTGTGTATGTGTGTATGTATTGATGTATATACACACACATATATATATATGTGTGTGTATGTGTGTGTGTGTGTGTATGTGTTTGTTGTGATCTTAGTCTAGTTTTTAGTGCGAGCTTTTGTACTCTATGCTCCATGCATATTTGTGATTCGTAAATATACAGAGCATATGTATCATTGATCTTTCCTGGACAACACCGGTGGTAGTAGTATTGCAACACGGCTTATGCTTTGAGCAGTGTTTTTTATTCTGGTTGTCTCGTGCTTTTTTCAACGTTTATAATAGCAATGTAGGCCAACATATACCGTAATGGATGATACTTACAGAATTGGTAGTCCTAAGGTATCGAATACAATGGTGTTGTAGGCTGAAGTTATATTTCTCATGTGCAGTGTTGTATGCAGATGACTGGGCAACAGGTAAATGTTACCAATGTAATGCAATTCACTAATGATTGTTTGTATTAGCGTATTCCATTGCTAGCGCTCAAATATACTTTATTCAGTTGTGTGATATTTCATGCACTATTCACAATAGCAATCAGTCGCCCACTGAGCGTAAATATCGCTGTACCAGGTTTCGCAACTGTTGGCGCGAACTAAACATTGTAACGGTCTACTATAGTGGCCAAAATTTGTGTACCTTCAGACACGGCACCTTGAGTTACGTTCCCGGGTCAGCTCATTTTTCATGAACTATTGCGAGTTGCCTTCAACAATGCCACTCTTGAGCAGTTTCACGAACGCACAGTAGTCGAAACTCTCGCCAGAGACGTGCGTACCACGCATAATCTCATCGACCTCATCGTCCGTCATACGGTCACCCATGGTGGTGAGGTACTCCCTTAGGACATCAGCGTTTACATTGCCCATGCCTTCGTCATCAAAGCACTCAAAAGCGTTCTTGATGGCCATCTCAGGATCAGATCCAGCAAGCTTTTCTCCAAACAGAGTGAGGAACATGGTGAAATTTAACGAGGATGAACCGGGTGCCTCCGCAAGCATGCTCTCTAGCTGCGAGTCGGGGACGTCAAGCATACCTGTTGTTATTGAGAAAGAAATATAATGAGGGACACAAAAAGACGTATAAATTATTCGGCGTACGGACCAATATCTTCCAAGTTGTATTTACACATACTTCTTAAGTTGTGAAATCCATTCAACCACTGTACAAGTCTCCTTATACGTAACTATCCCAATTTCTACATCTAAATATGTCCGTTTACACGTATACGCACGAATATATCGATTTATGTACATATTGATGAATATTCATAATATATTATGTATGTATATTTACACAAGGTTTTAA